TATCAGACATCAGCAAATTAAAACCCAAATGCCATCATCTTAGACTGAGGGCATCAAAGGCTGACGTTTTTACTGAGGCATTAGTGGCTAGAGTTTCTGCTTCCACTGTGCAACAAATTCTGGAGTCACCATCTCATGCTGGTTTTGGTGATTTCTGACCCCGTGACGACAGTGGCTCCTAACTCTCCTGCAGGAATTCCTAAAAGACAGTGCCTGCTCTCTCTGGCTACAGCAGTTGGCAGCTGCTCCAAGGCACATCAAGCATGGGTTGTCGGAAGCATCAGTCAGAGATGAAAACGTCTTATAATACATTTTCCCTGAGGAGAAGAGGCCAAGCCATCCAAGTATAAGCATCATATCTCTTGCTCTGTTCTGGAGAATGAAGATGATTGTTCCCTGTAGCTGATGGTATGGAGTGAACAAAGCAACTTGTGAGCTCGCAGGAAGACAAGCCCTCCTTTCTCAGAGCTGTCTTAGCCAAGTGGTATGGAAGAAGTGCACGATTCTTCACTCTTCCCCCTTCCTGTGTTCTGAGGGTGGAAAAGGTTTTTTCTGGCCAAACTTTTTCTTCCTCCTAATTAAAAGGGAATTGCGACTTTATGGGAAAGCCGGTCAGACTGACTTCAGTGCACTGAACGCTGCAATCCTATTCATACAAGGCAGGTCTGCAAAAAACATTTTTCAGATCTCCAGAGTAGCAGTTCGTATCTTTGATTTAACATCCACACGCAGCAGATTGAAATTGCATTGATCATCAGAACAGCAAACGGAGAAATTTCTTCATATAACAAAGCAGATATGTAGCAGAGATATGGTTGTACCTACAGCTGATCAAGAACTGCTGGAAGAAGTAATCTAAGGTGAAATTTCTAGTCATAATGAGGAAGGCCATCTCCACTTTCACACTCCTTCCCTGAACGATAAATACTTACTCACCATACGATAGCAGGGGTCTGCTTCTGCTGGGTTTTGTTCAGTAGTTCAATCCTGGACCCAGGAAGCTTACCCCAGAACTGCATTAAGACTGGCAGAAGTATACTTATCTTAAATCAGAGGGGAGATATTGCTTTATGTTAGTACATGGCCTGATTACAGGGCTCTTGCATCTTCTGGGGCAATGTCTGAAGTTCTTACACTTTTGTTTCAACCCCCACTGGAACAGCAACAGTGTATGCAAATCTGTTTTCACAATACTGCACTCTGTTTTCCTGACAGCTGTAATTATACCCACAATCACCATCTCTGTACATTTCCTTGCAACTCGGGACAGAACAAATTTGATATAAGAAGACAAAATAATAAGTTACATTTAGTTTTACTGAAGTGTGAGGGCAAATGAGACAAAAAAAGAGTGGCAGGTTCAATTTATTCTTTCCAAAATAAAAGTTCTCTCTCACTTAGAGATCTTTAGCTACTATAGACAGTTACAACTCTTTAAGAAACAGAATAAGAAACTCTACAGAGTCCAGGTACATTTCACAGCTGGCATTCAGCTAGCAGTTGGAATTTACACACAGCTACTGCTAAAGTCAATCTGTAGTTTTAACTTATTTGTAGAGAATGTTTGATATATTGTAAACAAAGTAGACAAATACTCAAGTAGTAGTTTAAATTACTGCCATTGATTTCTGAACAACTGCATCCGCAAGGCTTTAACGTGGGCTTAACATCCAAAACCAGAGCAAAAGAAACAAAGCAGATCTTACCTGAACACGATGCATTAGTTTCAAGGCCTCAAAACTCCTATGAATATGTCCTCACCCACCTCAGCTAGTTCTTAGAGTTTAGCATCTCTCTGAATCTTTTCTACTACACAGATCTCTTCTGTCATGTATTGTATTAAATAAAAACGGAAGCATTAAGACAGCTGAATAAAGAAAAAATAATGGCAACAAAAGCTCCAATACAGAAGATTAAAAAAAATTAGCCAGGACTTGATACCATGCTAGCACGTACAATAACAAATTACAAAAACCTAGACAGAAAAGTTAAGGCAATAAAAGCAAAACATTGCATGTTCTCTGGGAATGCTGAAGGCCAGAGTGAGGCAATCTCCATGGACTTGCAAATAAGTTTTGAGAGAAGGTATCAGAATCTGGTACAGCTAAAGAATCCCGTCTACGTTGTATTAAGTTCTACATGGGAATTCATGAGAGGAAAAAAAAGCACAAGGATATAAGGAAGAATTCTCATCTAATAGGAGGACAACATTTTAAAAAGCAGCCAGAGCCGGTGACTGGCACAAGAGGAAAAGTAAATTTATCATTTGTTCTGATCAGAGAGTTAAAGTTAGGAACCACAGTTCCATGATCCTCAAAAAAAAAAAAAAAAAGACAAAAAAACACAGAGATAACCATCTTACATCCAATCAAGTCACAGGCAAAAAGGACACAGCATATACATTTTGGAACGTGAGTTAAATATTCTTGAATAAAGTACAGGTAAAGACAGCCAGCAGAGAACAGAGAATTAATCCTAGTCATGTCAAAGACATTAAGGACATAGAATAGCTACAATGATTTATACCCCTCCTGTTCTCTTGCTTTGCTGTTTTGACATCTACAGATAACTATTTCTCAGTCACTCCTTCTCTGGAGAGCTATGTTAAATACTTTACAATCGTTTAAAATTACTTTGCCAAATAGTTCAGGTATAAAATGAATAGAAATCAGGAGAGTTTGTTAGCCCACCTTAGATGAGAAAGTACTACTTACATTGTGGATTTTATCTCCGTTCCCAAAACCAAAAGGAACATTTCCTTTAATAACTTACAAGAAATGAGGTGTGACAAAAGCACATGAATATTATCCTACAGTGTTATCTATAACACAGACTGAATATTCTTTTCACGTGTAGCAAAATATTTATCAAATAATTTAAAATCCCTTGTTACTAAACTTTTGACAATCAAAAGGCAGTAATATAACTTGCAACTGATACCTGAGTCAATTTTTCATTCTCTCATATACGTTAAGCTGGACATAAGGACTGGCAAAAGGGACTTAAGATGGTCATGTAAGGTAGGACCTGACAAGCCTCTCCACGACCTCATCTGAAATCTGCCTACACTCTCTAGCATTCCTTTACACAGGTCTTTTGGAAAAGGCAGTCGGAAGCAGCAAAGAGGATAAATTTATCACTTCCTTGAGACCTGCACATGAAAGAGCTCATTGATGGGGAAAAAACAAAACAGAGTCTGTTAGGGTTATTTTCTTGTTTTTAAATTAAAACCAGGAAGTGTTAAAAGATAACTTTACAAAGTTTTTTCTTCACTGAACTCCCTCTTCCCTCCAACTTCATGTATCACGCATATGAGAGTGCAGATCGGCTGGCTTCTCCACTTGAAAGAGTAACACAGAATGCCAACTCAGTTAAAGTCCTGTTAGGCTTTGCTAGTTGCTTGAAAAGACATCTCTCTCTCTCATCTCTCTCCTTTTCTGCTTTTGTTTTTGGTTTTTTTTTTTTGTTTTAATATGAGGAAATGTTTTGGGTTTTAGGGTTTTTCTGTTTTTTATGGAAGACAAGAGGAGAAGAGTCCTTTTATTTCTAAAGAGACAGCTTTAAGCAACTGCTGAGACAGGGAGGTCTACAAAATAGTTGCTCTTAATTCCTAAAGATTTAGCATCATAACAACAGGCAGGTAAACACGGTGTTACAGATATGACATGACTGTATATGCGCAAGTACACATTTAGAAATAAAATCATTCAACAACAGAAAACTAATCGTATCTTTTTACAAGGTTTTCTTTTTCTCCTTTCCTTCAGTTCTTTCCAGTAGTAAACACTGCAAAGACAGTAGATTTATCCTAGCCAGATCAAATTCAAAAGCTTCCAAATTCTACAATTTATACCATCCCCTAGCGTTAAGAAATAGTCAGAATCCTTTAATGTGTTTCATATATGTTTGAACAAATCTCAGCATGGGCATTAGATAATTTAATGATGCAGATTCATGGATGTACAAGAAATCAGTCGAAAAATATGCTCAGGCAAACTACAGATGCTGGATTACTTTGGTGTGTTGAAGGTGAGCAGTATTTCTTGCCAATTATACATTTGTGAATCTAGTTATGAGTAAGGCTTCATCCTAAGTAATTTGGATAAACGTTCTGGGGAACATTGTACAGTATTTTCTGCCAGAAGGTAAGTCATAAAACTCTTGGCATCATGAGAACGAGCACAAAACTGAGACACTTCATGGACAAATACTTGCAAAAACTGTAAAGTCATCCTAAAGGGTCTAAGTTACTTTTGCACCATATACAACTGCACGAGAGTTTAGGGAAACATCCTTCTCTGTATGTCCCCGAGA